ATAAGTGCACTGACACAGTTTACAATACGCTGCCTCTGATCCGTCTGAAGATCTTTTGAGTCATGAGTATGTTTTCTCCCAATTACTATTATTCTTTCGATTGCTGTCACAAAATGCTTTCCAATTTCCATTTTTTGGATGACGTGGCCATTGGTAAAAGTAAAAGTAATAAAATCTATCACAGATAGAACTAGGTCTATATCCAATCTATTTTCTGTCCTTAAGTAGTTTATGAACAGTCTGAATCACTTGGTATCAGTGGTGGGTTTTCGTTTTATATCTCGCATTTATTCTAGTAAATTAACATAAATTACACAGATTTATAGCAGTCACAATCCGTTTAGGAAGACAACAAAACAATAAGAAATGGCTCGAATCTCCGTTAGTCTGTGCCAGGACATCACAACAAAGTCAAACTGAAATAAAGATTTAAACTGTAGGTCTACATTGCTTTTAGAGGAACCATGAAGAAAATGTGAGCACATCTTGATAAGAAATGCCAGGAAAAACCCAAATATGCCAGAATATGCCAGTTCATTATCTTATGCCAGTTCAATTTCAAATATGCCAGATTTGTGGAATCTGGCATAAAAAAAGGCCAATATGGCAACCCTGGCTTTCATAACAAGAATCCACGTGATGGCCCTGAAACAAAACTCAGACCTTGACCCGGAACGCTGGGGTCACCAGTGCCCACAATCAGTGTTGCCACTTTAGATCTTTTATATCCAAATTTAGATCTTTTTTATTGCATTTAGATACTGTTTTTGACGTTTAGATCGTAAATATTTTTCTAGAAACTATTCATATGGAGTTAGATATTTTATAGATTTTTTTTCTTTTATTGTCAATTTAATAATTACTGTGTAAAATATTTACTACAATATTTTTGTTTTGGTCAGGCACGTACATTGTGACAACTGCCATTACTTGAACTTTGAACTCTCACTGGGGTCAACGCAGAAATATCTGGCAGCCCCGGTACTGATTAATAAAAACGCGCGTAAATCATACTAACTTTGTTTCAACCGTATCCTCACTGTGCTGACTTTGCGTTTCTTTTTCATGTGATTTTTAAAAAAAAAATTGCTCACCTTCTTATGTGGCTTTCACTTCGAAAAAACCTTTCAACATGCCAAAAGTAAAGTATGAGCAAAAAATTTGGAAAAAGTGGTTGCATGATGACAACATTAAAAACTGGGAATATGACCAAAGCTTCTTGTAAGTACTGCAAGTGTGAGTCATGCAGAGACTAAGAAAAGCATAAAACTGCAGTTTCATTTACAGATATTACACCGCTGACATCTGTTTTCAGAACTATACTGATAAATGAATCATCAAAAGTTAAAGTATCAGTCACAATGTTTTTAATTTGTCACTGCGCAATTTCAAACTGTGACCATTTGATCGATTTGTTAAAGAATCTTGGACTAGTTCAATTTGAAAAGTGTGATGTAGAAAGTATAGTTTAGGAACTGAAGGACCTTTTAATCTGCAAACAGTTAGGCTTGAAGAATTTGGCTGTAATTGGTACTGAAAATGCCTCAGTGATGGTTGGTATAAACAATGGCGTTTATGCCAAGTTGAAGGAAGCTAACCCATCGTTAATACTTATAAAATGTATGCGTCATTCATTGCAGCTAGCATTATCACATGCTTCAAATAAATATTTACCAAGGAATTTGGAATACCTTATCGCTGAAACACTTTACTGGTTTTTCAAATCATTTGTCAGACAACAGCAATACAATACATTATATGCAACCTTGAATGATGGTTCCACACCACCGAAAATTCTGTCAGATTGCAAAACTAAATGGTTATCAATTTAACCAGCTGTTGAAAGAATTATGAAGCAATGGCTGAAGTTGGACACATTTTGAAATAACAAGACAAAGTGAAAAGTGCTACACAGTTGAAAATGGAATGTACAGTGATGAAAAAAAAATGAGAATGAAGAGAACAACTTGAGAAAACGCTGTCAATATTTCCTTATCTCATTATTGAAGCAATTGAAGCAGAGACTTCCTGAAAATCTAGATGTTTTGAAAAATATTTCATTTTTTTTTTTTTTTTGTGAGCAACATACTTCAGCCAATAAAGGACATACCTATTTATTGTTAAGTTATGAAATTTTTAGGGGCTACTGATAATAGTGTCGCGGAAGCAGAATATCAGTTAACCAAAATAAAGTTAGCTGAATGGACAAACAAAACAGAAACTAAAAGCGTTTTGGAGTGAAGTGAAACAATTTGAAGATGCCTCATCAAACAGTCCATTCTGTAGGCTCTTTAAAGTGCCATGTCTGCTATCATACTACCCAACTCAAATGCTGACGTTAAAAGAGTTTTCAGTGCTAGGAATTATATCAAATCTAACCTAAAAAACAGGATGAAATTTGATCTCTTAAATGCTATCGTGCCATTAAAATTCGGCCTGATGAGACAGAGAAATAAGCCTACTGTTCCACTTATAAAGAAATTTTAACAGCTAAAGCATACCAGGGTCATTTTGATCTGAAGCTTCAACTTCATTATCCAAGCTAAGTTTATCCTGTGGATCTTGTGAGACAGACATCAGTGAAGGTGAGGACATGATTATATAGGGTAAGTCATAACAAAAGCTATGTAATGTTTGACTTTTTCAATTTGGATGTTTTTTCTAGATCTTTTCCACGCATATTTAGATCCTTTTAGATATTTTTTGACACCGTTTTGGATATTTTTTGTCAAAGAAAAGTGGCAACACTGGTCACCAGTGAATACAATTCAAGACGTGGCTACTGCAGACGGTTAGTGCCGGCTGCTGGTGTTGTTGTTGTTGTTGTTGTTCTGAATATTTATGTATATTTGTGAATGCAGTTGCCATTTAAATTATCACCAGTGTTTCGACTCCAAAAGGCAGAGGAAGTTAGATTACTGGCCGTTACTGTTAGAGTTAAAGACAAAAATTACTGCGTTCCTGATGTGCAGTGTCCTGAGTGTCGACTGCCGACACTTTTCTGCTGAAAACCTTTTTTTTTTATTATGAATTAGCACTGTTTTTATTTTTTAAGTTTGAAACTATTATCTGCCTGTTTTTGTCTGTAATGTAGTCTTTTGTGACATCTGTATACATAAAATCATGACGTTAATGACGCACACAAGATCGAAAACATGGTAGATTATGAAATTATAACATCTTTGAACAACGTTGGATGGAAATTGCGTAACTGTAGCACTACACATTTTAGAAAATGAAAAGTTTTATATGCATTAAATCCATGTCACTGGTGGTTAGAAAAAGAATGGATCTACTTCGAACGGCACCATAAAATGGCGGCCTTAATATGATGCTACATTCTGGCCATAAAATATCCAAAAATATCCGAACGATGTTCAGGCATATCTAAAATACGGACTTTCTGCCAAGGAACAAATCCCGGCAAAACTAGGATTACTTGACAATCAATATCAACATTGCACACGGTAGTAGCAGACGATAAATACTGACCGTTGACAATTTCTAGCGTTTATGCAGACGACGATACTAGCAGACGATATTAGCGACCGTTGACCAATTTCGAGACATTACAGACGATGAAAGCCAATTTGCAATACTGTGTTCTTCCGATGGGAGGATTTAGCAGCGGTAGATGTCAGGCTTGTCGGCATGAGCCAAACGCGATTAAACTCATCGCCGAGCATATCCCCCGCGCCGCTATGCGCGGCACGGATGGGAAGCTAGACTAGGTGCCTGGGACTCACGAGTAAAGTAATTGGAGGAAGTTGCAGGAGATGCGGTAGCTGCCGCTCGTGAGTCCCAGCCATCTAGTTTAGTCCCCATACGGGGATACGGTCGGCGGTGAGGCACACTCGCAGAAGCAGGTCCGCAAGTAACATATCGCTGAGACCCTCTTAGAGCATTTGTTTCGTTATACGGAGCCGGCATATTTTTAATAGAACTGGGCCCCATTCAGATATTTTTTCATATTTTATGGCCAGAATGTGGCCAATTTAGCTCTCTTTCGAACGGCATCATATTATGGCTGCCATTTTATGGTGCTGTTCGAAGTAGAGCCAAAAGAATAATTGAATGATATATATAGTCAGTATTAACATATATATGGTGGTGAATCCTAGACGGTTAATAAACAAGCCGCTTTCCTCCGAATAACGATCCTAAATTATCGAGGCGGAAAATATACCCTAACAGGGCCTCAGTCATGTGTCATTTGCGCACTTCCGTCACTTAAATTGCAAAAAGGCGAGGGCTGGAAGAAAACTCATCACAAACATAATAAAGGGACAGTTTTTGTTGTTGTTGAGAAGAACAAAGAAACTGGAACATTTTTTGTCCACTAGAAAGATCTATGGGAAAAAGAGACAGAGGAAGGCAACACAAGAGGATTGACATGTCAGGACACAAGCTGATAAATGTTGTTGAAGATCACACACCCCCAGCTTTGTAAAACTTCATTTTGTCATGAAACAAATATCTAAACCTCAGTTTTGGATGGATTTAAATGGACTCATCTTTGCACCCATCAGAGATGCACACACAGTGGGGAGTGGAGAGAGAGAGAGAAGCAGTGTTTAAATCACCATTGATCACTGACATCATGAAAGCTAATAGACTGAAATGCCAGGGTCAAATAGAAATAATTTCAGATTACAGTGAAGCAAAAACTGTACACAAGGAAGTTGATAGCCATAACCCACAAGGCAGATCAGAAGAGGCTGGAGAGAGAACATCCAGGCAGACCTACAAGCACTTGGTATAACAACTGGAAAATGAGAGACAGTCACATAGATGAATGGAGGTGAGTGATATCCGCAGCAGTGAATTGCAAGAATTCAAAAAGCTCAAGAAAAAGATAAATAAATAATCGCTATTCCACTCTTTTGATTAAAAATGTTCACATTTAGATACTTATTATAGATACTTCATCCTTTATTAAATTAGCATTGCCTCATCATTTCAGATACCGCAACAGTTGGCAAGACATTAGTTTTTAAAACATGGAAGAATTCAAACCTATTCGAAATCCAGAGATTAAATATACCCAGGTGAGAAACTAATAGTGACCTCCCTGCCTGTCAGCAAGGCACTTGATCATGATGATACTATAAAACTGTTTTTTCAGGCATGGACTCCTTTACTCTTCCTTCTTCTTCGGGTTCACCAGCTGTAAACTTCTATGGAAGATCCTGGTTGTCCACTTCTGGTCATCTTGTTCCAGCACCTGATTTTTGCCTGCACATCCAGTTTACAGATCTGGCTTATTTTTATACAGTTTGTCCCCTAGCTGTCAGGCAGATGCACTGCAACTTTGAAGGAAGCATCCCTAATTAGTCGACTCCTACGACTTGCTTGTTGGGGGCAATGGGTCTGTTTTATTTTTCTCCACAATGGGACTTCGGAGCCCACACAAGGAGACTCCTACACAATAATAGAGGTTCTGTGCTGGGTAATTTCAGTGTAACGAATATTCTTGTTGTGTCATCTTATATCATGTGCAACAGGTGTAGTTAAAGGGTTTTCACACCCAATATTTTGGGAAGGCAACATGTTTTTCCTTCCCAAATTTTTTTGGTTTTTTTTTCTTTGGGAATTTAAAACCAAAAAGTTCCCCCGGGCCTGGGTTTAAAACCCGTAAAAACCCATTTTGAAAAAAAACCCCTTTCCCCTTTCCCCGGGGTTTTCCATTAAAATGCAGAAGTGGAAAAGTAAAATTTTTATTCCCCAAAACTGTTAAAAAACACCATTTTGAGTTTCCCCCGGGGAAGGGGCTTTTCCCCTCCGAGATAAACCAAGGGAAACCCCCCCGGGGGAAGGCAGGCTTGGAAAAAAATGGAAATTCCAACCATACATGGCTTTGGGAAAAGGGGCCCCTTTTGGCCACTCCCCGTTAAGGCCCCATTAAACGGGCAGGAATTTTCGATTAGTATGGGGGGGGGGGGGGCAAAAAATTTTTTGAGGGAAATTTTTAAATAAAATTTTTGGGGCAGATGGGGGTTAAAGGGCCCTTCGTTCTGGGGAAAGGGGGGTTAAATACGGTTGGATTACCCCCGCAGGTTCTGCGGGTTAAAATTTGCAAAAAATTCTTTTTCCGGGCTTCACTTTCCCCTCCGATTTTAAAGGGTTTTTTAAATTTTTTAGGGGTTTGGCTTGGTTTTGTTTCCAAAAGGAACTGTTTTTTTCCCCTTGGCTTTGGGTTTTGGGTCCAATTTTAAGACTGGAAATTTGATGCAGAGGCCCCATCTGGGAGCCCCCTTGCCAACGGGAACTCCACAGAGGAGTTTCCTTTTTTAGGGGAATGTGCCCATTTTTTTTTTCCCCCTAAATTTGACCTAAAACCACCGCCCGGTGAATTTGGAAAAACCTTTTTTAAAACCATCGCAACACCTTTTCCTTCCATTTTATCCTTTCCTGGAAAATAACAAAATTGCCGGGTTTTTTTAAAAAAGGGAAAAAACCCACCAAAAACACAATTAAACACTAACCCACCTGCAAAAACCATAATCCCCCGGGAAAAGCTGATTTTAAAAGTAAAAACTTTTAAAAAGATGCGATTTTCCCTTTCCCAATTTCCCCCTTCATTTGGCTTTGTTGAATTGGGTATTTGCCATTGTTATGATCCCTTTTTGTTTTAAAAATAATTCTGCCAAGAATGTACAGTGACGCTGTCCATGTTTTGTTTTTCCTTCTTGTTTTATGGGCTCTTGTCTCCATAATTTTTGTTTGTTTGTTTGAGCTGTAGTTCTTTGGCAGTGAATTCTTGTTACTTGTGACTGCTGTGTTTGTATTATCACTGAAGATAGAGTTGGATATTCGTGTATGTTAATGGCGACTGGTTTGTCTTGCAGTTGTTCATCAACAACGAATTTGTGAATTCTGTGAGTGGAAACCCTTCCCCAACCCTAAACCCCCGCTACGGTGAAAAATTGTTGAGGGTTCAAGAACCCAAAAAAGGGTTAGGGGGCTTTGGGTTTTGTTTTTTTTTTAAACTCTTGAAAAATATTTAAAATAAAAACCTTTTTTGGGGGCCCCCCCCCCTTTTTTTAATACAATGCAAGACAAAATGAAATAGTTACATTGAAAAACTTTAAAATATTGAGGAAAAATGACTCATAAATAGCATCTTATTGGACTTGAATATGAGGAGGCTTCAAATGAAGACCTTTAAAGTGTGAAAGAATTGCACAAAACTATGCCCTTGTCAGTTTTTTTGTTTTTAAGATTTAAAGGGAATGTGACCCCATGGTGTAAAAACCAAACAGGTGAAAATCATAAGGCAGTTTAAAGAGGGTTTCCCCCACTTTTAAACATCACAAAAAAGAATAAACATTTGTGATCAGTGATTCGAGGCTATAGAAATTCATCCAGCATGATGATGCATGCCTGTCAGTGCAGCAAGTTTGTGGGTGGGGTAGGGAGTTTCAAAACGGCCAGACCTCTGCCTCAGACTGTTCACAAGCTGGTCAGGTAAACTGAGTATAGACCCCAGAGATAATTGCAGACGTTAAAGGCCGCCTCCCACACGAAAATAACTAATTGAAGTTGCTGCACATCTTGACATCAGTTAACTTTCGGCACAGCACATCATTCTTGATGTGCTACAGTACTTCAGTGTGGTTGTTACAGCTGCTGCTTTTTTTGTGAATTTTTGAAATGGAGTTGCCAACATTCTTAACATCCTTAACAACAATATTGACATTTAGATAACAATGGTAGGGTTATTGTAATTTCTATCACACTTTTACAGTTTTTATTTGAAGCATCTTTGTAGTGTGACTATATCAAACATTACAACAGTTAGAAAGAATAATGATGGAGGGCATGGTACGAGGTAAGGCAGCCAACTGGCAGCCAACATGAAGGTGTGCACAGTGCATAAATGATACATTGAGCAGAAAAGTGCATGCGGTGGGACTAATAATAATATGCTGTAATGAACTGGTCAGTAAGGTAGGTTTGCTGCTTTAAGATGTGGCAAGTTTTGTCTTTTTTCCTTTGCATATGCAATAATTTTTTGACTGCCAGATATGGTTTTTGTTGTGAACTGCAGATCAGAACATGGCAAGTGTCCTGTTGCCAGGGAACTTGTGGTGTGTGTATGCAGTTAATTGTGTATGTAACTACTGATCTGCTGTAACTGTTGTTTAATGCGCATGTATGCTGTAGAATTTGCTAAGACTAGTCTGTGTCAATTTCTTTCACAAGGGACAGTGAGGGAAATTCTGTGTGGTGTTTGTTGGCACAGAAATGGAGCAACTTTGGGGTGACCCGTTCGCAATGAAATTGAATCTGTGACTACCTGTAATTAACTGTGAAGATTGTTCTTCACTAATTATGTTTGTGGGCTGTTTTTGAGTGTGTGTTTTTTTCATATGTGTATCTTGTAATTGCATGAATGCAATAAAAAAAAAATTTTAATATTGACTTAGGTTTGCAGGATGACCCAGTCAAACATCTTATATCTGATGCACCAACTGATGTAAAAAGGGCCTTTTGCTTTTTTTTTTTCTCTCCCTAAATGTGCCTTCTTGTAATGGCAGTGTTGTGTATTTATTGATAACCACAGGCTGACGTTGACCTAGCTGTACAGGCTGCGCAGGCTGCATTTGCTCTCGGCTCCCCATACAGACAGCTGGATGCCAGCGCTAGGGGCCGCTTGCTTAGCAAAATTGCTGACTTACTTGAGAGAGATGTCAACTACATCGCTGTAAGTCTCTTGTGATCAGTCTTGTATGTACACACATTTTCCCATTGTGAACACCCTTGGTTGCTTCCTCTGATATGCTTTGCTTATTTCTTCAGCTTCTTCTTCTTGTCCGTTCATCCTTAAAAGAGTAGTTGGAATGTTGTGTTTTGGTTTACATCTAGGCTGTGATATCTGTGCCTTTCAGGAAGCCCCTGATTAGTCACACTTTTACTACCTGCTTGTTAAGAAGGCAGCGAGTCTGTTCTGGGTTTCTCTCTCAGTGGAGCCCAGGAACCCGCACACAAGGAAGCTTCTTCATGCAGCAGTGCCTGTTGCCATGGCTATATGTGATATTAAGGATGTACTTTTCTTCTTTCTTTTCATCATTGCCAGTTTTGCTGCAGATATCATCCGACTCCATTCACCTTTGGCCTTCTCTCTCCCATTGACTTCAGACATGTTTATTTGTCTGTCTGTATATGATCTCTCTACCATCTTGTTCTGCCTTATGGTCTAATCCCCTTCAACTTTTTTGTCTGTCTGTTGTGTCCCACCCTCTCTGTATGCCCAACAGTTGCAGTCTATTAGCCATAATGATGCCAGTAATTAGGAAGGATTGGAAACCAGATTATGAATGTCATTGATGCTTCTCTTTCTCAGCTGTTTACATCTTTGACGGGTCAAAAGAATCGTCTTAGACTCATTTCTCATAAGTTGGTAATAATGTTTAGTTCATTAATAAAAAGGTAACTGATAATCATTGCTCTTGGTGTCATAAGTGAAGCATGCTAATATTTCCAGTAGCTTTTTGGAGTGAAGGGAACAGTTCCCTTCCTTTGGGGTCTCCTTTGGCAAAGTGGTAAATCTGTTATCCTCCAGCTCTGAAGGGTGTGGGTTCAGTTTCATGCTCCACCCTTTGACTTATTGTGATGACCCTGCTTTGCATGGTCTCCACGATTACATTGTGGCAAGTAGAAAGTCCGTGCAACAAGTGACAGCACGAGATACTTGTGGCTAGTCGAGTAAGCGAGGGGAAGCCCGAGCTAGACTCATGGTCAGTGGATCAACAGAAGTCGTGGAAGACGGTTGCATTTAGTTGAAGTTGTAGTCTTTATGTCGCGCGAATGACTAGTGTTTGAATATGTCACGAGCGATAGAAGTGTAAATAATTGTGGAAACGTGTGGAACAAATGTGACTCAATAAATTGACAGCATGTACAAAGGAGCTGAGCGGCGTTGTGTTATTAAACCCAGACGTGAGAGCAGTGTGAATTAATCATCCAGAGAGTGAGCCGTGGCGAGAGGAGATTTGTCGTAAGACAAAGTGCATGTCGAGTGACGTTGGCCTAAACAAGGTTCATGTCGAGTGACGTCGGCCTAAACAAGGTTCATGTCGAGTGACGTCGGCCTAAACAAGGTTCATTCCAAGTCAAGTCAAGGTTCATTCCACTTATGAGTGTAGATGTTTCAGATGTCCCTTGAGCTACAGAGTTTTGTACTTTGTTCAACAAGCCATTCTGTAGAGACAGAGAGAACCAAATGGAACAAATTTCACACAGTGAAATTAATTTACTCACCCTTTTGTCGCAGGTCGACCCAGCCTAAAATGGGTACCAGGATGGGCTGTCCTGGGAAAGTAAAGACAGCCGGCGTAATGCTGACCACATTACCCACAGAGTGCTGATGGTCTGTAAAAATATGGGACGCTCTGCCCATATGCCCGATGCGCCGAAAGGCGTGAAAAGGGAACTTTACTTTTTTTTTTTTTTTTTTTTAATTGATTTTGTAAGTGCCAACAGACAATAATAAAATATATATTTCATGCTGCTTTGAAACATTCTGGAAATAAAGTACTTCCCCAGGTATAAAATGCACTTATTATCCAAAAATATAGGGTCCAAAAACATCTTGATTGATTGGCACCTTTCAGTCTTTCCAGACGATAGGGTGCATCTTGTACATTGATAGTAGATTTTTACCAAATAATTTGTTAGAAAATATCCTATAAAGGACCTCATTTGTGAATGCCGGTTCAGCGGTGACGTAAAAGAGAGGGGGGGGGGGAATGATAAACTGAAGTTTTCCCAGCTGTAATAGTTTTTGCTCTATATTCTTACAGTATGTATATTTACCTTTGTGTAGAGCTTGGAAACCCTGGATAATGGAAAAACCTTTGCTCCCCATGGGTCTATTGGGGATGTGCTGTTTTCAGCGAGTGTGTTCAGATATTATGCTGGCTGGACCGACAAAATATGTGGTAGAACTATTCCAGTTGGTAAGGTTGTTTGTTTTTGGTGATGTTACTTGTATTTGTTTGTTGTTGAAACTCCTTGTGTGCGTTCTGGGGCCCCATTTTGGGGATACAAAAATAGACCCACCACACCCCCAACAAGTATGGGTAAAAGACGGTTAGTTAGGGGGGTTTCCTTCAAACTCACATAGCATTTGTCTGGGAGGCAAGGAACCAACAGTCTGCATACAAATAAGCCAGATCTCTAAAAATGGATATGCATGCAAAATCAAATTCTGAACAAGACCAAGGTCCATAAGTGAATGGGGAAAAAAAAAACAGAATTTTCTGGCAAAGTTTACAGTCCGTGAACACTAAGAAGAGGGGAAAGACAAGGAAAGAAGGATTCACCCTGGGTAAATCAATTAAAAGGCAGTGAAACATAGAAATATTAGAAGGAAAAAAAAAGGATGTTGAAAATGTCAGGGTTATAAGAATATGATCTAAATCAGTGGTCTTCAGCCCTTTTCAGGACACCCCTCCCCCCCCCCCTTCTTGAGTATAACACATAACCCTCATGCCCCAAAGTAGGTGTTGAGACTCTCACACACACACACACACCCCCCCCCCCCCCCCTTTTCACTTGAGTATATTGCGAGACCTCCATGGCCCCTTGAGAATATGTAACAATCCAGAATGTGAATAAAATGAGTGCAATAGATAAAGTACTTAGAGAAATATGAAGTAAGGAGATTAGTTATAGTCAGAATGTGTTCTTAAATGCGGTTTTATCATATTGTACAAACTGTTCAACAAAACAAACATGTCCTTGTTAATTTTTTTTTTTTTTAAATTGTTTTCAAAAATATTTTATTTACTGCAAAACTAAAACAAAATGTAAGTTTAACTGGTTATTACAAGTACAAATGCACTCACTTTCAAAATTGCTTGACACCCCCTTGAAACCCCCACCCCCTTTTTCCAGGGAAGCACGCCTCCAAGTGGGAGATCACTGATCTAAATAAAAGGAAAACTTTATAGATCCTTGTTGCCACAGTATCTTATTTTTTTTTTTTTTTTACTTTCAAATTCCATTCTTGTAACAGTAGTTTTCTTTGCTTCTTGTTCAAATTATTCATTTGTTGTCAAAAAAGATTTTTCCTACCAAAAACTGCACATTATTTGACTACTCTGAGGTTAATGAGGTCAGTATTTTACGGGCAGGCTTGCTAGCATTTGTACTGCCATAGTTTTTCTAGTTCATTTGCTGTACAAATGGTTACTTAAAATATTACAGTAACATATTCAAAAAGATATATTAGCTTTTTTGGAGAAACTGCAGACCCATACATTGTCATTACCTGAAATCAAAATATTTGTCAAGGGAAAATACAAGAAATTGTAGAGAGAACAAACTAACAGTAAACATCCATAAGACCTTATCAGCAGACTCAACAGAAAGCAACATACAACAATTTTCCATCAATGAACAGGACACTACAGGCTCAACTGCCACATGCATAAAATAAAGATTGTACAGTCCCCACAGTGTGCCTTTCAAACAGGACCCCAAACACCTGAGCACATTCTGCAGACCTGCCCACTCTACTTACAGCTTCAAAAACAAACCTATCCTGAAGAGCAGAATGTGCAAAGCAAGTTATGTGGAATCATGGAGGACCTGCAGGTGACATGCGAGTTCATAGAGGCAACCCACCTGATGGTCTGACCTGAGTGTACAAAACCAAACGCAAAGAAGAAGAAGCTTTACTTGTTAATTAAAGTAGAATAAATCTGTAATGGCTAATCTAAGCTTGTAAAGTAAAGATACATAACTTTGTGGAATGAAAAGCATTATAATAAATTTGAAATGGCTAAACATAAACTAAGGATTCATGCTAACAAAGTTTAGCTGTATAATGTTCTTGTCATACCAGATGGAAGCTATTTCAGTTACACACGCCATGAGCCAGTTGGAGTCTGTGGACAAATCATACCGGTGAGTAGCTATGGAATGAACCATGTCGTTAAACTCATAGAGCCCTCAACTAGGCATTTTTATTTAAAGTGACAGGGAAGGAAACCTTGGTTTTCTTCTTAGTTTTCACCAGCTGTAAACTCCGGCAGAAAGTTCTGGTTGTTCTTTTACACCTGGACTTAATTCTTGTTCCAAAACTTGAATTTTGCATGCATGTCTGTTTTACAAATGTGGCTTACTTGTGCTGACTGCTGGTTTCTTGTTGCTCACACAGATGAGCTCTGACTTTGGAGGAACATTGTAAGTCTTAGTTGCTGATAAAAGAGTGGCAAAAATCCTACCCACACAGGGTAGCAGGTTACTTCTTGTAGTCTTTAGGTGCCATATTAAAACTTTTTTATTTGGTTGAACCCGGGAAGGCTAACCTGGACAAAAAATGACTGCAGAAGTCGGATGTATCGGCCGAAAGGTGCAAATATCATAAAAATGTTGTAAACAGGCACAGGGCATTTACATCTTTGGATGAATGCAAAAGAAGAAGAAGACAGGGTTGAACAGTGTGTCTGGGATTTTTACTGTCAGATTGACATCCAGAAATGTTTTGTTTTCTTCGCTTGGTGCCAGACATTTAGATTGGAGTTCCAAAAGGGGAATATAAAACGGCATGACAATACTGCTGATACTGCAGCTTAATTGAAATGCTTTAGACATTACCTGATTCTGTTCCTTTACAGATCCTTTATAAATCAATTTTAATGGAACAAGACTTCCCAAAGCAAGATTTCTGATCCTCTGTCATAGACAAGGTTAAGGGGATACTGATAGTGCCCTTAGATATTCTAAAATCAATCGTTTACTTATTAAATTACTTTAAGGTGGTGTAGACTGGTCTTCTCTAAAATCACCATGCGGTAATTTATTTCTTGGGGGGAAAAAATCCAGAAAGGCAGTGTTTGATTCTGATAAAATAAGAGTATTTATTATATAAATTATTTTAGTCTGCATTAGTCTGACTGTGCAGCGGCCCTAGCTAGAGGCTTGCCTGCGGATCCAAAGATTTTGGGTTCAAATCCGAACAGAGCTTGACTTTTTTCAAATTCCAGGTGAACCCAGCCTTAAATGGGCACTAGGTAAAGTCTTTCCGGTCAGAATGGACGCTAGGCGGGCCACTGTTTGGAGCCGAGGCAAATTGTTTGCTTCTGCCGGACGGTGGCGGATGCATTTTTGTTCCATTTGTAGACTGGATAAAGTTTCGTCACCCAGCTTCTTTGTTGAATGCATGGCGTGACACTGTGAGCTGCAGATTTCATTTGGAATGTTTTTCAACTGTGACCAACGTGGTGATGTGAATTGTAGGTTCAGAAAATGACCCGATGCCTGTCGTTGCAAATTTGGTGGTGCCCGTATGTGATTAAAATTGATCGCGTGGCAACTGCAGATCTGTTGGTGACTTCTGCTACCATCAACGATGAACTGCATTTCTAATGTCGGACTGTTTGTGTTAGCACTTTGGATGGCTACCGTATGCTTTAATGCGAGTGTATGCTAGATATGCTGAGACAGCAGTCTGTCAATCTTTCCACAAGGGACTGTGATAAACATGCTGTGTGTTTTTCGTTGGCACAGGAGCGGAGCAACTATGGGGTGGCCCGTTTGCTATGAAACTGAAACTAAGACTACCAGACTAGGTAAAGTCTTGGGAAATAAAGATGGCGGGTGTGATGTTGACCTTATCGCCCACGGCGTGCCGATTAGTCTGAAAATATAGGTGTAGCACCATATGCCCATTATGCCTAAAGGCATAGAAGAGGGGTCCTTTGTTTGGTCTGACTGTCCATGGGGGATGTAATTCTGTCACTTATATTGATGTAAATGTCAGTGTATTTTCCTGACTACAAACAGTGGAACTACCCGATTGTCATGGCAACATGGAAGATTGCTCCAGCAGTGGCTGCAGGCAACGTGGTGATCCTGAAACCTGCAGAGCAGACCCCACTGACAGCGCTCTACCTGGCATCTCTCATCAGGGAGGTAATTGTTCAATAGTTCAGACGTTAGAAACTGTATTTTCGCATTGGGTTTCATCTCATTTGTGTCTGCAAACAATTGGGGATCAGTAGTTAATTAAAACATGAAGAAACGTGGTATTACTTATAGCAGTCTGTATAAAAGTACGTAATGCATTTGATGAAATGCGGTTGTAAATGGATATCTACAGTAATTGTTGAATTAGCCAGTGCCAACAAAATAAGGGGGACCTAAAAAAAAAATATAAAAATTATAATTAGAGACTGGGGTTAATCAGATGGGTGGACATGGACTAAGTAGCATGTGATGTCAGATGAAAAGATGATTTTACGCAACTGTTTTGAATGCATTTGTCTATTAGGGGATAACTGCCAGAAGTTTAGCTGACATTATAGCACACGAGGGTAAATAATCTTGAACAGATGACAGATAATAAATTCTCAGAACATTATTTTTCTGTAGTTGATTTAAGAATGCAGACGCTACAACACACAGTTTATTTCCTAGTATATTTTGGTGTGTCTGGGATATTGAATTTATTATAAATGGAATCACAGCGGTGCAGGAATTTTGAGTGTCAGGACATTGATATCTGCATTTTAAGGTGGAAGGCAGATATTTTTGTCTGGTTTTATCAGCGTTTTCGGCTTAGGCGTTGCAAACATGCTTCATAATGCAGAGGGGCTGGGTTCGATCCCAGCTTTCATGGGGATATCGGGAACGGGGTGTTTAGAAAGCAATGGCGAATTACTGTTACCTAGAAAAAACACAACAGCCCAAAACTACTGGTTTTGGTGTTGTAACATCTGTTAAGGACTTGCAACTAACATTTTTTTTTTTTTAAATAAGCCAGATTACCTTAGACAGAATAATGTGCACTTATGTTCAGGTTATGTCAGGCTGGTAACTTTCACATGATTACGTGCACTTATGTTCACTTTAGGTCAGGCTGGTAACTTTCACAGGATATTGTGCACTTATGTTCAGGTTATGTCAGGCTGGTAACTTTTACAGGATATTGTGCACTTATGTTCAGGTTATGTCAGGCTGGTAACTTTTACAGGATATTGTGCACTTATGTTCAGGTTATGTCAGGCTGGTAACTTTCACAGGATATTGTGCACTTATGTTCAGGTTATGTCAGGCTGGTAACTTTTACAGGATATTGTGCACTTATGTTCAGGTTATGTCAGACTGGTAACTTTTACAGGATAATGTGCTCTTATGTTCATGTTATGTCAGGCTGGTAACTTTTACAGGATATTGTGCACTTATGTTCAGGTTATGTCAGGCTGGTAACTTTTACAGGATAATGTGCATTTATGTTCAGGTTATGTCAGACTGGTAACTTTTACAGGATAATGTGCATTTATGTTAAGGTTATGTCAGGCTGGTAACTAAGAACTGAGTGCATCAGTAGAAACAGAAAATAAAGGCCAGGCAGGCAACCTAACTTTCACTCCCTAGAACAGCAGATGATACTTGATGTAGCCATAGGGCCTAACCATTTTATCCGGTGGGGTGGTGAATCTAGGATCAGTTCATTTTATCCGGTGGGGTGGTTAATCTAGGATCAGTTCATTTTATCAGGTGGGGTGGTGAATCTAGGATCGGTTCATTTTGGACTGATATCTGAAATGTGGTGTCAGGTAGCAGTTATAGTGTGGGCATGCACACATTAAAGGAAAATACAGGTTATGTCTGAAAACAGATTATAGCAAAATGCAGGATCAAAAGTAGACAGACAGATGAAACACAGGTGACACTGTTGACTCTAAACGTAAGGTAGCATTCCATATGTGTGTGTGTGTGCACGCACGCGTGCATGCGTGAAAGGCTGATGCTATGAGTAGGCTTCCTTGAAAATTCACTGACATTTATCTACTTTCCTTGTGATTGAAATGTCTCCAGTTTATAGCGATTATTGTTTTTGTTATAGCTATTTGCAATTTGTCTGATGTAGTGAAGAAAGCTTAGTATATCAAGATAACTGTCATTTACTTCAGTACTTCAGTGGGAAACCTAACCCCCACATCCCCTTTGCCCTAACCTGCCCAGTTAAATTCACTGCTTTGCTTTGAAATTATATGGTGGATCCAGTCCAGTATGGCGGATGTGTATGCACCCTGACTAGGCAGGTGCAGAAGGGCTAAGCTTGGCCTTTTATGTCATATTTCTGACACCTCTTGTTTCCCCAGGTGGACGGGCTAGTAGTAATGTTATGTAATCTAGGCCAGTGCTAGTTTCTTCGTCTGGTCTAAGAACTGGAAACAGCTTTTAATCCAACAGGGTTTTAGTATTTGGGCTTTGTGCTTGGTAACTATTATTCTTAGTTTCTTTATTGAACAAAATAAATTAAACGGACTAAATTCTGAAATCACTGACGTGGTTTTGTCATGTACAGGCCAACTGCTTTGGTTTAGGTAACTTATTTGCTTCTGACCATGGTTTGCTGGTGCATTTTCCCCATATTTTTACAGAAAGTATATAGTTCTATTACCCAACTGCTGAGTTGAGCGCATAGCACGACACTATAAGCTGTGGATTTTGTTTGGAATGCTTTATGACTCTGCCAAGGTGGTTTATGTTGTAAACCAGATTCTGAAAAAGCTAATTGCTGTTACCACAGAACTAGTGGTGCCTTGTGCAATACTGCATGTTTGACTACTGATTTGTTGTAACCACTGCTCCCATCAATGATGAACTGCCTTTCTAGTGCCAGATTGTTTGCGTTTCACATTCTGATTTCTGCCTTATGCATTTACTGCATGTGTATGCTATTGGCTTTGCTGAGACTATCTTATTCTTCTTCAGCATTCCGAGCACTTGAGGTTCATTGCTGCAGATATCACCCGCCGCCATTCATCTCTCTGGTTGACTCTCTCTTTCCAGTTGGTGACACCAAGTGTTTGCAGGTCTGTCTAGATATTATCTTTCCATCGTCTAGTTGGTCTGCCTCATGGTCTACGACCATTCATCCCCATGTTGTGTACAGTTTTTACTTCTCTGTCATCTGACATTCTTTCAATATTTCCCAACCATTAAAGTCTATTAGCTCTCATGATACCAGTGATCAGTGGTGATTTAAACAGATTATGAATTTTGTTGTTGCTTCTCACTCTCCATTCACCGCTGTTTGCATCTTTAATGGGTCCAAAGATTTGTAATAAGACTGTTTTTGAAACTGATACTGTGATCTGTTTAATTTGTTTCACTAGAAACAGTGGTAAGCATTCTTTTTGGTTTTCACTGGCTTAGGAACAGCAGTTATGGGGTGATTCCCTTTTCTGTGAAGTTGGAACTGCAATTAACTGAATAATTCTGTATTATGACAAATTAGCCTGTGTGGTCAGTGCATGGTTTGTTTTCTCTGAAGTGTTATTTTGTATTATTGCTTTGCTGTGAAAACGTGTATTAAATGTATTTGGACGATGCATGCAGCTTATCTACATATTATGCAGCTTACCTACATATTATGCAGCTTACCTACATATTATGCAGCTTATCTACATATTATGCAGCTTATCTACATATTATGCAGCTTATCTACATATTATGCAGCTTATCTACATATTATGCAGCTTATCTACATATTATGCAGCTTATATCTACATATTATGCAGGAACTATTATTTTTTGTGTTTTTGTTTTACTCTGTAGTTCTCTTTTTCTGTGGTATTTTTTTTTTTCTAGAGGGAAGGGGATCTGCTTTTATTCCTTCGACCCTTAAGTTTCCTGTCCAAAGACATTCTGTTATATTGTTCCCAGATTTTCTCAGCACATGTCATATCCAGTGCCATTGTCTTTTCATCACACCTTACTTCATTATTATTTTTGTTTAGTTCTGTCGTAAAGCTCCACATTTGGTTCTTTCATACCTTTTAATTCCTTCTGTTCTGAAAAAAGCACCAGTTAATGAATGAATGTAGTTTATTAGTTGTTTTAATTGTTCTCTTGCTATAGAATAATCGCTACATTGTTCCAATATTTCCTTATATGTGTTGTCAACAGGTGGGTAAGCTCATCTTGCAAGCTTCTGGTGCTTCAAACATTAAAAGAACAACCCTGGAGTTGGGTGGCAAAAGTCCCTGTGTCATATTTGATGATGTAGATGGTAAGTGTTTGTAAATTTGATGATGTAGATGGTAAGTGTTTGTAAATTTGATGATGTAGATGGTAAGTGTTTGTGAATTTGATTATGTAGATGGTAAGTGTTTGTGAATTTGATGATGTAGATGGTAAGTGTTTGTAAAAGAACATGATTTTTGGCTGGTCATTTTATTCCTGACAATAAAATCACTACAATGTTGGGCACACATGAATTTCATTTGTTTTGTTTTTTTAATAGTGCTGAGTATATTAGAAATGACTGCCTGCTATCCCAACAGTTATTCAATTAGAATAAGTTTGTTTTGTAAGTGACCCTGTCTCCCAGGCTGGCTTAGCCTAAAATCCCTGCCAGGAAATGATCTGGAAAGTAAAGGCAATCAATGGGATGTTGGCTACATCAATTAGCAAGTGAGGCATGATCGCTCTGCCAGTCGACAAGGCACTTGATGATAAGGTTGTTGGTATATTTTTTTCTTTTGAACCATGGATTCTGAACATTTTCTGGATTATTAAAGTTCAAAAGCAAAGTTCAGCATATAAATTTAGAAAATTCAAATCGTGAAGCTGAGATTACAAGTTGTGTAAACGCAACATTATGCTATTTCTTTTGATGTTGAAGTAATTTTGTCTCTACAATGTGTCCAGTGGACTCTGTTGCGGCCGAAGCCCAGGAGATCTGTATGACCAACATGGGTCAGTGCTGCGTGGCTGGGACTAGAACATTTGTTCATGAAAATATCTATGATGCATTTGTGGCAAAAACTCGTGAGCTGGCACAGAACAGAAAAATTGGAGACCCCTTTGATTCAGACACCGTCAACGGTCCTCAGGTATGATATTAGTTTTAATACTTTATCTACACTGATGAAGGACATAAATAATTGTTTATAAAAATAGTTTATAATGTAAAGTTTAGGAAACAAACATTTGTAAATGTCTTTTCCTATTGTTCAGTAAAATTTATTGGTTTTATATTATTTGAGTTGACTTTCAGCAGATTTTGTGCTTCAGGAAAACATAGACGTTTATCAAATATCATCTAGAATCTAGAACAAGGGGCAGCTGAACAGCAAAGACAGGCCAGAAAGAACCGACAAATGGGCCCTTTGTCCACAGACACTGTGCCCTGCCCTTATTGTCCTAGACTCTTCCGGGCACGTATTAGACTTATAAGTCACCTCTGGACTCACAAACGTTCAACTACAGTTTCATGACGGATAAAAGAAAGAGTGGTCCTCATTACTTGTGATGGACAAATGAACATCATTGAACTATTCTTCAGAAGACAGTGATAAAAACAAACCAGTTGTTTGTTGCCCAATGCAGCTGACATTTATTGTAAAATGGGGTAACATAATATTTATAGTCTCATTTACCTGATATTATGTGTGTGCTAATTATCTCTGTGACAGTACACATTGTTTATATATGTGACAAAGCCAGTGCTTATATAGCTGTCCTCTTGTCTGGTGAGATTTTTCTGCTCTTTTTTCAGTTCCAGTTATCAGCAGGCTCAGGTTTTTTTATATCGTAGATGTGTCTTCATTCAGATTTATTCTTGTCTTTATGTTAGTATTTTGTGTTGTATTACATACCTAGCAACTTCTCTATATGTACTTTTAGTCATCACTCCACTGTGATCAAGATAGAAAACAGAATGCTTTTGCACATTCGTGAGTTTCTGAACAACAAAATATGCACTGAAATTTGAATACAGTGTAGACTAGAAAAACTGGATGTCAGTTGTGTCTGAATCGTTGGTCTGATTTACAGTTGCAGTTTATGAGTTTGAAAGATGATAGTTGATGTTGCCTAAATTTTTCCCAGTTAGCTATATGTACAGTGAGAACTTCCAAGAGCAACATTGGTGTGATTTGCTTGAACTAAGATTTGTTCAACATTTTATGGTAGATTCTTCTTCTTGTTTTCCCTTAAACAGGGCAGTTGGCACTGTCAGCTGTATTGCATTTTATAGAAATTTGACAAGTAAAATTGAATCATGAGGCTGTGCAGTGTTGCACAAAACTAAACAGGTGAACGATGAAGGTGTAGAATAATCCAGTATTTCCATAAAAGTAATCACAAATCCTGCTGTTTTACCATAGCAAAGGGATAGGTGCTAAACAGTTGGAGCCATTTCCACTGCTGGGAGTTGGCTGCAGTCTATCCGCTGCTAACTATTCGAATGTTACATGGTGATGTCCCAGTCTCTCTCACAGAGCAGCTCTCATAACATTGCCCACAAGTGGTGCCCTTCCACACTGCCTGCTGCAGGCATTGAACCCAGGCAAATGCAGAGGAAGTAATGACATTAACAAACAGATCAGCTTACTTATTTTGGTAGTCATATTTGTAGTGAAGGAAATACAAAGAAAGAAGTTATGACACACATTCGCCAGGGCATCAGCAGCCTTTAATAGCTTGAACAGAATATGGAACTCTAAACTGTATAGTTTTAATACCAAGTTACATATTTTCTGTTCTAAAGTTAATTCAGTTTTAACATTTGCAAGTGACAGTTGGAGAACCTCTAAAGACTGGAACAAAAGTTAAATGCATTTGAAAACAAATGTCTGAGAAAAAATATGAAAAATGTGATGAAGTCACAAGGAGTGAAGAAAAAATGGAAATGTTTGAGCAGTCACTAGTATCAATAGTTAAGACAGAGAAGTTGGTGACACATTGGACACATCCTGAGAAGAAACCAGCAGAGAATCACCAAACAGGCATTAAAATTGGAAACAAAGGTATTCAGGAGGCAGGGACGCCAAAAAGAAACCTCAAGACGAACATTGACGAGAGAGGTCAAAGCTGCTGGACTAGATTGGAATGGAGGAATAGGCTAGGAGCCCTATGTGACATATAATAGCACGACAGGATAATGAAAGAAATGTTGAGGATTGCATTATGAAACATTATGTTACATCTTCACTAATCTCTAAGGTATAGAGAGTAGGTGCTAACAGATTAATAAGTATTGACATCTTCAGTGCAGAGATGCTTTCTGGACCTTATGTTTATGAAAAAATCCCATCAGTACAGTTAGTATGAAACATTTTTTATCAAACTTGTCTGCAGTTTGTTATTTTTGTTCTCCATGATTAATCTGTTGTTTTATGGGACATCAGATCGATCAGGAGCAGTTCAACAAAATCTTGGGCTTGATTGAGAGTGGCAAGAAGGAAGGAGCAAAAGTGGAAGTGGGTGGTGAACGACATGGTGAGCAGGGCTTCTTCATTAAGCCGACAGTCTTCTCTCATGTCACTGATGATATGAGAATTGCCAGGAAGAAGTGAGTATACTGTACATATGAATTAAAAGTAGCGAAGTCAGCTATGATTGCTTAGTAACAAAATAAGGTTGAATATTCTTGAGTAGTCTCATGTATTCTAAAACTGGTTTTTAAGCAGTTATAAAGGGACATTAGAAAAGTTTGAGTTCAGCATGTAAAAGATCAAGTAAAAGTCACTTTAAACGCCAGTGGCACATTGAACATATAAGGCTAGACTCATATAGACCAATTGGCGCTCGATGGGTTACGTGATGGTCAACATTACACCGGCTGTCTTTATGTCCCTACTTTATCTGATACCCATTTATGGCTAGGTTAACACTAGAGCCAAGGTCATATTTGACAGGAGCCAAGGTCATATTTGAAAAATATCTGTCTGATGCAGATTTGAATACGGTACCTTCAGATCCACAGGCAAATGTCTGTCCTTACACTACGGCAGCTCCTGTTTTTTTCCATATCTTTTTTCCTTGAATAAATGTGTCATCTGTTTTATGTTTTGTCTTATCACATTGAAAGTGTAGCCTGCCTTTTGACTGGCAACAGAATATACACTTTTTGTAGTTTAAACTCCCTTTAATTAAACTTTGTTGGTTAAAGTCCCTGTGGTTAACCCTTTCAGTACCAAGGAATACTTCACACACTGATTTATAATTAATTTAAGTTTCCTCTGGTCATGTTGATGCAAAAACATCCTTCTTCCACCTTTAGTTTTCCCTGCACCTTTCTCATTTTGTATTTCAGAACTAAAACTCAATTCATCCTCGTGCCTGGCAGCTCATTTTTGTTGTGTTGTGTTTTACACTAATATATAAGCTTTTGTGGTCCTAGGTGTTTCAGAGTTTTACTGTCTCTAAAAAATCACATTTGTAACGGTTATCATCAGCTCATAATTGGCGACAGCCCTGATCCGGAACTTCGCTATGCAGAGGACACAGTCCTCCTTTCAAACAATGTCAGCAAAGAAGAGAACATTTAACCATATCCGTCAAAACGCAGTGAAGATCAAAACCCATGTTAAATTTTTTTTTTAAAGTCCACAGACAAAATTACCTGTCACAAAGAAATAACAGTAAATAATGAGTGAATTAAAATGTTTGAAACTTTGTCTGTCTAGGCTGCATAATAAACAGCAGTGGAACTGTTCAACAAAAGTCACAAGGAAAATATCAGTTGTGGAATATCTCACAGTAATAGGGAAAGGATGCTCTTGAGATAGAAAATTTCAGGGCTGTATTATTTTAGTGTTAAAGGTTCAGCAAAATGTGATCATCAGTTTGATACTTTTCCATCTTTTCCTGGCTTTTCCTGGCTTTTATTCTCTGTAGAAACATTGACAGTCAGGTAAGACATGCCAGATACTTGTATCTTTTGCCATCCTCCGCAGCACGCCCGATATCCTCCCCATATTACTCTTTCTCTCTAATTGTCTTCATGTGTTGTAGTGCTCCTCTCTATTACCTTTTGTTCTGTTCGTTCAAGCGAAAGGACTTTCTAGTTAACAGTGCTAGCAGACTTTTCTCAGTTTGTGTCATAGCCAGTGCTAGTGTCATTTTCCTCACATCTTGGTTTGCTGGAGTTTTAGTTCTTTGCTTTAGCTCTATGATACCATTCTACTGATTCTAATCTGTGTTAATAAATCAGGTGCCATCTTCACAGTGAAGATTGGATGCAATGGATCTCAACACTTTCTGTCTCTTGTTTTAGCTGTACACTTTCTCAGGCTGCTGTTCATCCATATCTTGATGTTGTCCTCTCATTTGATCACTGTCTATCTCGTGCTGTCTTGTCTTTGACGTTTTTCCTCCAGTCTAGTTTTTAAAATGGTAGTGCATCTGGTCTTCTAGTGTGGCTGAAATATTTCACTTTCACTTTTGTTTTTTTTCATCAACCCTCTTTTCATTCACAATCTCATTAAAACCTCTCTACTTTGTTCTTTTTATTTCCATGAAATATACTCCAGAGAAATAATCTATGTGGGCACTAATTAGTAAATTGTTAGATTCATTACTGTAAGGCGTAAATTTTGAATAGTCCCCACAGCAACACTTGTGAATAGACCTTCGCCACACCTACACTACCACTCCTTTCTACCTACTAGTCAGTAAGTTACGTCATGTCTACTGTCACATAACTTGTTCAGTCGGGGGATACAATAGTTAGCGTTCAGATTGCCCACAACATAAATAAATGTTTGTAGTTTATTAGTAACTGTTTTAGTCTGTCTTTGTGTTTTTGATTCATAACAATAGTCAGTATTGTAAGTGTTTCACTAGTTGCAGTTTTTTTTTTTTTGACTTCCATTAATTTCATAGAGCTGTGGAAGTGATTTCAGAACGATCTAACCCAAAGTCAATTTCAGGATGACTAGAATAGCATACACTGACAGTTACTGAGAATCAGAACAAGTAGGATTTCTGTTTTGCAGATTTTTGGACCGGTGCAGCAGATCCTGAAGTTCAAGGATCTGGATGAAGTGTTGAGACGTGCCAATGACACACAGTATGGTCTGGGGGCCTATGTTTACACCAATGACATCAACAGAGCCTTGACATTTGCTCATGGTGTCCAGGCTGGAACAGTCTGGTGAGTTCTTTCATAACCTCGCCTGCATTTATACCAAGTGCTTTCTTCTTCTTTTCTCATCTCAAAGTTACAATGTTGTAGCCCAGTGTCTTGGTTTTCTCTGTCTTGCGCTTCTCATGTGGCTTGGGTGATGGAATTGTTCATCTTTTGGGAGGTTTCAGCTACATCCTTTATCCCTCTCTTTCTTGGTGTTCCTCTGCCTTCCTAGCAGATGTTCTGCTGTAAACAAATCTTACGTGCATTTTGGATGGCTTGCATTCTCACTAGATGGTCTTCTTCCAACTTTATTTCTATTAGTGGTATTCGTAACCCTGTCCCCTTCTTATGTTGTTAGCGACCTTAAGTAGAAAGCGGCCACTAAGTACTTTAATTATTGTATTTCTTCTGTGATCACTGGCCGTGAAGCATCGGTGGAAAATACTGGTTGGTCTTCTGTGAACATCGGGGGAAAGTACTGGTTGGTCTTCTGTGATCACTGGCTGTGAACATCAGTGAAAAGTACTGGTTGGTCTTCTGTGAACATCAGTGGAACGTACTTGTTGGTCTTCTGTGAACATCAGTGGAACATACTTGTTGGTCTTCTGTGAACATCAGTGGAACATACTTGTTGGTCTTCTGTGAACATCAGTGGGAAGTACTTGTTGGTCTTCTGTGAACATCAGTGGAATGTACTTGTTGGTCTTCTGTGAACATCAGTGGAACATACTTGTTGGTCTTCTGTGAACATCAGTGGAAGATACTTGTTGGTCTTCTGTGAACATCAGTGGAACATACTTGTTGTCTTCTGTGAACATCAGTGGAAGATACTTGTTGGTCTTCTGTGAACATCAGTAGGACATACTTGTTGTCTTCTGTGAACATCAGTGGGACGTACTGGTTGGTCTTCTGTGAACATCAGTGGAAAAAAATGCACACATTATACGTGATCTGAGCATCATAAAGAGCATCCTGTCCTGAAAGCTGAGGTTAAAGTCCTGGAGACCTAGAGAGAGCGGTGATGGCGCATACAGTATCCAGAAAACAAAGCAGATGCAGACCTCCATGAAGGTGGACACAAAACATAGAACACACATTAGGCTATGAAAGCACACAGGGCTGGAGAGTTGGCTAGAGAAGGAGACACATTCAAGTGTTCCATGTTGAGAGCGATATTTTGTAGAAGACCTGCTGATTGATGTATCTTTTTTCTTGTGTGTTCCTCTCAGGATCAACAGCGTGAATCATGTGGCGCCACAAGCTCCATTTGGTGGCTTCAAAATGTCCGGCTTGGGCAGAGAGCTGTAAGTGTTTCATATTGTGTGTGTATTAGATAAGAAGTATATCTTTATATGTTTACTCCTGCATGCAAGATGTAAAGAAGTTTGTTTTTCTCTGCTGCTGCTTCTTCTACGGATGTTAACCTGAACTTGTCAGAGGTTAGCCTTATTTAATTTATAATGTAAAATTGGGAAAGACAAATTTTGTGAACTCATTGAATGAATTACCTCAGGAAAGGGACTGCTGATAAACTGTCCATGTAGTGATGATCTTTTTGAGGAGCAACTAGCTGAAGAGTTAGAAGTGTTAGGATGTCATGCAGGCTTGAATCCTTGGTTGTTGGTTGGTTGTTGACACCTTTCCGTCTTTCCAGACGATAGTTGGATATTGTGCCATGGGATGGCAGGGGATTCACAGCCCATGGTGATAGTGTGACTTGGTAAGATTTGTTGACATTAGGAAATATCTACTACACAACCATTAGATTATGGGATTTCAGGATTGCTTTTACCATCACATGTATTTCATGAATTTACCAGGCTTCTTCTTAGATTCTCAGACTCTCAACCTTTCTGCAGTAAGTTTTTCCTTTTGTTCCTATTTCTTTGCTAATTTCCTCCACCCCCTTTTCCCCCATTTTCCACTCAACAGGGTCAGTGGCATTTTGTTCCCACAAATCTACCTTCGTACTTATATCATATTTATGTTCCACTTTATGTCATAGTAGTAGCGACATTTTTTTACACATCTGATTTTCAGTGTGTCTGCATAGTTCAGTGTGTCTGCTTAGTTCAGTGTGTCTGCATAGTTCAGTGTGTCTGCACAGTTCAGTGTGTCTGCATAGTTCAGTGTGTCTGCATAGTTCAGTGTGTCTGCATAGTTCAGTGTGTCTGAATAGTTCAGTGTGTCTGCATAGTTCAGTGTGTCTGCTTAGTTCAGCGTAACTGCACAGTTCAGTGTGTCTGCACAGTTCAGTGTGTCTGCACAGTTCAGTGTGTCTGCACAGTTCAGTGTGTCTGCAGTTCAGTGTGTCTGCACAGTTAAGTGTGACTGCATAGTTAAGTGTGACTGCATAGTTCAGTGTGTCTGCATAGTTCAGTGTGTCTGCATAGTCCAGTGTGTATGCATAGTCCAGTGTGTATGCATAGTTCAGTGTGACTGCATAGTTCAGTGTGTCTGCATAGTTCAGTGTGTCTGCATAGTTCAGCGTGTCTGCATAGTTCAGTGTGTCAGCACAGTTCTGTGTGTCAGCACAGTTCAGTGTGTCTGCATAGTTCAGTGTGTATGCATAGTTCAGTGTGTATGCATAGTTCAGTGTGTCTGCATAGTCCAGTGTGTATGCATAGTTCAGTGTGACTGCATAGTTCAGTGTGTCTGCATAGTTCAGTGTGACTGCATAGTTCAGTGTGTCTGCATAGTTCAGTGTGTCTGCATAGTTCAGTGTGTCTGCACAGTTCTGTATGACTGCATAGTTCTGTGTGTCTGCATAGTTCAGTGTGTCTGCATAGTTCAGTGTGTCTGCATAGTTCAGTGTGTCTGCACAGTTCTGTATGACTGCACAGTTCCATGTGTCTGCATAGTTCAGTGTGTCTGCATAGTTCAGTGTGTCTGCATAGTTCAGTGTGTATGCATAGTTCAGTGTGTCTGCATAGTTCAGTGTGTCTGCATAGTTCAGTGTGACTGCATAGTTCAGTGTGTCTGCATAGTTCAGTGTGTCTGCACAGTTCTGTATGACTTCATAGTTCTGTGTGTCTGCATAGTTCCGTGTGTCTGCATAGTTCAGTGTGTCTGCATAGTTCAGTGTGTCTGCATAGTGTGTCTGCAGTGTGTGTCTGCATAGTTCAGTGTGTCTGCATAGTTCAGTGTGTCAGCATAGTTCAGTGTGTATGCATAGTCCAGTGTGTATGCATAGTTCAGTGTGACTGCATAGTTCAGTGTGACTGCATAGTTCAGTGTGTCTGCATAGTTCAGTGTGTATGCATAGTTCAGTGTGTCAGCACAGTTCTGTGTGTCTGCATAGTTCAGTGTGTATGCATAGTTCAGTGTGTCTGCATAGTCCAGTGTGTATGCATAGTTCAGTGTGACTGCATAGTTCAGTGTGTCTGCATAGTCCAGTGTGTATGCATAGTTCAGTGTGTCTGCATAGTCCAGTGTGTATGCATAGTTCAGTGTGACTGCATAGTTCAGTGTGACTGCATAGTTTCAGTGTGTCTGCATAGTTCAGTGTGTATGCATAGTTCAGTGTCAGTACACAGTTCTGCTGCATAGTTCAGTGTGTCTGCATAGTTCAAGTGTGTCTGCATAGTCCAGTGTGTATGCATAGTGTCTGCATAGTTCAGTGTGTCTGCATAGTTCAGTGTGTCTGCATAGTTCAGTGTGACTGCATAGTTCAGTGTGTCTGCATAGTTCAGTGTGTACTGCATAGTTCAGTGTGTCCTGCAGTTCAGTGTGTCTGCATAGTTCAGTGTGCATAGTGTCTGCATAGTAGTGTGTCTGCATAGTGTGTGTCTGCATAGTTCAGTGTGTCTGCATAGTTCAGTGTGTCTGCATAGTTCAGTGTGACTGCATAGTTCAGTGTGTCTGCATAGTTCAGTGTGTCTGCACAGTTCAGTGTGTCTGCAGTGTGTCTGCATAGTTCAGTGTGTCTGCACAGTTAAGTGTGTCTGCATAGTTCAGTGTGTCTGCATAGTTCAGTGTGTCTGCATAGTTCAGTGTGTCTGCATAGTTAAGTGTGTCTGCATAGTTAAGTGTGACTGCACAGTTCAGTGTGTCTGCATAGTTCAGTGTGTCTGCACAGTTAAGTGTGTCTGCACAGTCCAGTGTGTCTGCATAGTTAAGTGTGTCTGCATAGTTCAGTGTGTCTGCACAGTTAAGTGTGTCTGCATAGTTCAGTGTGACTGCACAGTTCAGTGTGTCTGCATAGTTCAGTGTGTCTGCATAGTTCAGTGTGTCTGCATAGTTCAGTGTGACTGCATAGTTCAGTGTGTCTGCACAGTTAAGTGTGTCTGCATAGTTCAGTGTGTCTGCATAGTTAAGTGTGTCTGCATAGTTCACTGTGACTGCACAGTTCAGTGTGACTGCATAGTTCAGTGTGTCTGCATAGTTCAGTGTGTCTGCATAGTTCAGTGTGACTGCATAGTTCAGTGTGTCTGCATAGTTCAGTGTGACTGCATAGTTCAGTGTGACTGCACAGTTCAGTGTGACTGCATAGTTCAGTGTGACTGCATAGTTCAGTGTGACTGCATAGTTCAGTGTGACTGCATAGTTCAGTGTGACTGCATAGTTCAGTGTGTCTGCACAGTTAAGTGTGTCTGCATAGTTCAGTGTGACTGCACAGTTCAGTGTGACTGCATAGTTCAGTGTGACTGCATAGTTAAGTGTGTCTGCATAGTTCAGTGTGACTGCATAGTTCAGTGTGACTGCATAGTTCAGTGTGTCTGCACAGTTCAGTGTGTATGCATAGTTCAGTGTGACTGCATAGTTCAGTGTGTCTGCATAGTTCAGTGTGACTGCATAGTTCAGTGTGACTGCATAGTTCAGTGTGTCTGCATAGTTCAGTGTGTCTGCATAGTTCAGTGTGTCTGCATAGTTAAGTGTGTCTGCATAGTTCAGTGTGTCTGCATAGTTAAGTGTGACTGCACAGTTCAGTGTGTCTGCATAGTTCAGTGTGTCTGCACAGTTAAGTGTGTCTGCATAGTTCAGTGTGACTGCAGTGTGTGTCTGCATAGTTAAGTGTGTCTGCATTCAGTGTGTAGTAGTTCAGTGTGTCTGCATAGTTAAGTGTGTCTGCATAGTTCAGTGTGACTGCACAGTTCAGTGTGTCTGCATAGTGTGTCTGCACAGTTCAGTGTGTCTGCATAGTTCAGTGTGTCTGCATAGTGTGTGTCTGCATAGTTCAGTGTGACTGCATAGTTCAGTGTGTCTGCACAGTTAAGTTCAGTGTCTGCATAGTTCAGTGTTAGTGTGGTCTGCATAGTTCAGTGTGTCTGCATAGTGTGTCTGCACAGTTCAGTGTGTCTGCACAGCCTGCATAGTTAAGTGTGTCTGCATAGTTCAGTGTGTCTGCATAGTTCATAGTTCAGTGTGACTGCAGTGTGTGTGACTGCATAGTTCAGTGTGACTGCATAGTTCAGTGTGTCTGCACAGTTAAGTGTGTCTGCATAGTTCAGTGTGTCTGCATAGTTAAGTGTGTCTGCATAGTTCAGTGTGTCTGCACAGTTAAGTGTGTCTGCATAGTTCAGTGTGACTGCACAGTTCAGTGTGTCTGCATAGTTCAGTGTGTCTGCATAGTTCAGTGTGTCTGCAGTTAAGTGTGTCTGCATAGTAGTTGTCTGCAGTTAAGTGTGTCTGCATAGTTCAGTGTGTCTGCATAGTTCAGTGTGTCTGCATAGTTCAGTGTGTCTGCATAGTTCAGTGTGACTGCATAGTTCAGTGTGTCTGCACAGTTAAGTGTGTCTGCATAGTTCAGTGTGACTGCACAGTTCAGTGTGACTGCATAGTTCAGTGTGACTGCATAGTTCAGTGTGACTGCACAGTTCAGTGTGTCTGCATAGTTCAGTGTGACTGCATAGTTCAGTGTGACTGCACAGTTCAGTGTGTCTGCATAGTTCAGTGTGACTGCACAGTTCAGTGTGTCTGCATAGTTCAGTGTGACTGCACAGTTCAGTGTGACTGCACAGTTCAGTGTGTCTGCATAGTCCAGTGTGACTGCACAGTCCAGCGCAGCTGCACAGCCATGCAGCCCAAATTCTCAGGCTCCACCCCGTTTGCAAAGTTTTTTTTTTTTTTTTAACTAGATGAAGAGGCCAGTCTTGCTTTCCCCTTTCCCTCCCCCTCCCACATCCCACCCTCCTCATTCACCTCTTTGGGGTTGTTATTGTCAAGTGGTCAAGCCATTCACCCAGCATTTAAAATTTCTTGGGCTTGTTTGGTTCATGGAAATGACATTGATTGTTGAATGTATAAAAATGAACACAAAGGCAGATTTTCATTAATTCTTAAAACCCATGAATATTTTATTCAGGGTTGACAGCTTGCTATTTAGTTTTGTATTGTTGGAAAACTTTGTAATTATTTGCTGCCATTTGTGTATAAATTATTATTTGCCAAATTGTCTGTTTGGAATTTTATTCATTTTCATTTTGAAATCCGCAGGGGAGAATATGGTCTTCAGAATTATCTGGAGGTCAAGAACGTAAGTTGTGTTTTGTCAGAGTGGTTAGTTAGTTTGTTTGTCAACATATCTTCCAACATTACATTGAAATGGCTTTGCATCTGTCTGTGTGAAGTGGATGTAAAGTATTTTCTTATCAGGAGATCTCAGTGCACTGATCAGGGAGCGCAGTAAATGGTTGAAGTCTCAATTTTAATCTTATAGTAGTATTCAAAGCCTTTTCTAGGTGTTTGGTTTCTTTTCTCTCTTTCTCTCTCTCTCTCTCTCTCTCTCTCTCTCTCTCTCTCTCTCTCTCTCTCTCTCTCTCTCTCTCTCTCTCTCTCTCTCACACACACACACACACACACACTCCCTCCCTCCCTCCCTCCCTCCCTCACTCACTCACTCACTCACTCACTCACTCACTCACTCACTCACTCACTCATTTATTTATTTATTCATTCATTCATATGCAGTGTGCTGATTGGCTTATAAAGTATAGGTATGCATAATGCACCTTTAAGCTATGGATTCAGATATTTTACTTTACTTTATTATAGTTAATGATGGTCAAGTTGTTTTTTTTTTTTTTTTGGTGCTTGTTATTCATCTGTCAAATGTTGTGACCTGACATACTACTGTTTCAGGTTGTTGTGAAGCTGGATCGCAAATACTAAACTGATTCCTGGGATACACCAGGCCAGTCCACTGTAACACTTAACCTACACCCTTGATTTGTTTTTAATGTTGAAGATGTTTAAAGCAGTTGCTTCCTTTCATTTGGGGCTGAAATAAGTTAAAAAGTATTTTTTCTTTGTTAAACAATGTTTGTCTGTTTTTGTTTTCTTGTTTCTCTTTTTGTTGAAATAACTATATTTGTACCAGTGTGCATTTACAGTAATCAAGTTTATTTAATATAGATTATAGTAACATAGTAACATATTTATGATCTCAGCAGCTTACTACTGCTCACAGTAACAATAATTTCATTTGCCTAGGTAATAATACTAACCAGGCAGTGATTTTTAAAACATATAAAATACAGATTAAAAATTTATCATTTTGGAAAGAAAAGAAAACTTGACATTAATTATAAATGTTTTTTGTGTGAGTCATTTCTGTTTATTTATATGTACTTTTGCTGGATCACTTTTTAATAGGATTGTGTCAGTTGTATATACACAGTTGGGTTGTTCTTCTTTCCAAAACTATATCAACTTATATCTTTACTGCTATGAATAATTTTTTTTTTTAATTATTATTGTATTCCTTATGTCAACTGTTGTTAGTTTTTCTGCATGAACAGTTTTATTGATTTTGTTCTTCCCTAAACTGAAATAATTCTTCTTGCAATGAAGAGTTTTATTGATATTGTTCTTCCCTAAACTGACATAATTCTTCCTGCAATATACAGTTTTATTGATATTGTTCTTCCCACAACTGAAATAGTTCTTCTTGCAATGAACAGTTTTATTGATATTGTTCTTCCCACAACTGAAATAGTTCTTCTTGCAATGAACAGTTTTATTGATATTGTTCTTCCCACAACTGAAATAGTTCTTCTTGCAATGAACAGTTTTATTGATATTGTTCTTCCCACAACTGAAATAGTTCTTCTTGCAATGAACAGTTTTATTGATATTGTTCTTCCCACAACTGAAATAGTTCTTCTTGCAATGAACAGTTTTATTGATATTGTTCTTCCCTAAACTGAAATAATCCTTCTTGCAATGAACAGTTTTATTGATATTGTTCTTCCCTAAACTGAAATAATCCTTCTTGCAATGAACAGTTTTATTGAAATTGTTCTTCCCTAAACTGAAATAATTCTTCTTGCAATGAACAGTTTTATTGAAATTGTTCTTCCCTCAACTGAAATAATCCTTCTTGCAATGAAGAGTTTTATTGATATTGTTCTTCCCTAAACTGAAATAATCCTTCTTGCAATGAACAGTTTTATTGAAATTGTTCTTCCCTAAACTGAAATAATTCTTCTTGCAATGAACAGTTTTATTGAAATTGTTCTTCCCTCAACTGAAACAGTTCTTCTTGCAATGAACAGTTTTATTGAAATTGTTCTTCCCTAAACTGAAATAATCCTTCTTGCAATGAACAGTTTTATTGATATTGTTCTTCCCTCAACTGAAATAATCCTTCTTGCAATGAAGAGTTTTATTGATATTGTTCTTCCCTCAACTGAAATAATCCTTCTTGCAATGAATAGTTTTATTGAAATTGTTCTTCCCTCAACTGAAACAGTTCTTCTTGCAATGAACAATTTTATTGATATTGTTCTTCCCTCAACTGAAATAGTTCTTCTTGCAATGAACAGTTTTATTGATATTGTTCTTCCCTCAACTGAAATAATCCTTCTTGCAATGAAGAGTTTTATTGATATTGTTCTTCCCTCAACTGAAATAATCCTTCTTGCAATGAAGAGTTTTATTGATTTTGTTCTTCCCACAACTGAAATAATTCTCCCCGCAGTGAACAGTTTTATTGATATTGTTCTTCCCTAAACTGAAATAATCCTTCTTGCAATGAAGAGTTTTATTGATATTGTTCTTCCCTAAACTGAAATAATCCTTCTTGCAATGAAGAGTTTTATTGATATTGTTCTTCCCTAAACTGAAATAATCCTTCTTGCAATGAACAGTTTTATTGATATTGTTCTTCCCTAAACTGAAATAATCTTTCTTGCAATGAAGAGTTTTATTGATATTGTTCTTCCTTAAACTGAAATAATCCTCCCCGCAGTGAACAGTTTTATTGATATTGTTCTTCCCACAGCTGAAGTAAACAAATTTTTTAATCAGGCATGATTGTATAAATCATGTACCTGGGAAGGCTGACCTGGTCAACAAATGCCTGCAGAAGTCAGATGTGTTGGCACAAAGGCATAAATTTCGTAGCCATGCAATAAATGGGCACCACACAATTGCGCCTTCAGATTAACGCAGAAAACAGAAGAAAAAGTAATCATGTGCCAGATAATCAAGGTTCTGCTGCATTCCCCTATCTCCAGATGAGGGAGTCTATCCTGTCATGAACAGTGTTGCTGATATTTTCGTCTTTGCTATAAAAATATGTCTGCTCATGATAATTGAAAGGAACAGAGATGTTATTGTTTCAGTTCCTCACTAGCGGGTCAGAATTTGTTGTAACCAGCCTAGTCTTTGAGCTCCCTTGACAGCACATGACGGACAGTCAGACATTAGCTCCATGACTAGTCGGACAGTTAGACATTATTAGTTCCATGACTAACCCAGTACATGACATGAAAACAGATTGACAAGAAAGGCTAAGACATGGCAGCTACCAGGTAGTCAATCATGTACTGGTCTTCACACATTGATGCCAGCTCTTAACTGCCAAATAAGTACTGTAGATATCAATGCTGTTATGAATCTTGAATGTGCTACTTAAGCTGATATTTCAATTGGGCATTTATAAATCTTTTTTTTCCCATATTTACCTTACTTTTACTTTACTTTTTCCTTCCACGTATGCCGCTAAGCGTTGTGGGGAGATGCAAGTTCCTGTCATAAGCAAGGCGGGCAGCATCTGATGTTCTGAGGCCATGCTTTTGGCAGGTTTCGGAGACCCCGTCAATCCACAGTTTCCTTGGTCTTCCTCTTGCCTTATATCCTGAGCTTCTTTGGTTGAAAATTTGTGATGTTATTTGATCATTTTTCATCCTGGTTAGATGTCCAAACCATTTCATTCTTTGATGTTCTATGTAGTCTAAACATGGTGTAGTTTTGACAGTGTTTCTAATGTCTATATTCTTTATCCTGTCTAGTCTGGTCTTATTCGCTGCTTTTCTTAGACATTTCATTTCACAGACTTCTATTTTTCTTTCATGGGTCTTGTTGATTGTCCATGTCTGGCACTGGTAGCAGAGTGTTGGAATGAAGATGGTGTTTATCAATTGTCTTTTGGTCTTCATGGTTATATCTGGATGTTTAAGCAGAGGTGATAGTTGGGTATGTGACAGCATTTGCTTTCTGTATTCTTGTTTCTATCTCTCTGTCCATTCTTCCATCCTCTGTAAATATACTGCCCAAGTATTTGAACTCTTTGGTTTGCTTGATTTTGGCACTTCCAACATTTATATTCAGTGGCCTGTGTGTTCTGCTGATCTTCATAACTTCTGTTTTTTCTGTACTGATTCTCATATTATGTTGTAAACAGCTGTTGTTGAGAGTAGTCAGATGTTCCTGTAGATCATATTCATTTTGATACAGTATGCTTTGATCATCAGCAAAAAGTAATTCGTTTATAGCATACACGTCTGGGTTCGCTTCTACAGTGATCTTATCCATGTATGTTATGAAAAGTAATGGTGACAGTACACATCCTTGCCTGACACCAGTTGTGACTTTGAACCATTCAGAAAGACCACTAGATGTTCTTACTGCACTTTCACTTTTTTCATAGAGGGCTCTGATGTTGTCTAATAATTGACCCTGCACTCCGTAATCGTCAAGAATTCTCCACAGCACATCTCTGTCTACACGGTCGAATGCCTTCTCTTGATCTACAAAGACCACGTTCCCATATTTACCTACTGTTGACTGTATTTGTATTATGTTTTTATTCAAACAGTATTTTCTTCAGTTTCAAACTGTTGGGTTTATACAATAGTATTAGATCTGCTTCCACTTGAGTTTATGTTTACTCTGAATATTTTCACGTGCCAAAACTTTGCTGTATCTCACTCGACATTAATAATAAATGTTTATTTTGGTCGTTTGTTTTTATTTATATATACTTATGAGGTTGGTATTTCAGACAGTAACTTCAGTAATAGTGTTTGAAGTTTGCAGTGCTTTTGGTGACTGATTTCAGAATCTAAATCTTAGCATACTGGGCACACCCATATATACACCCTCCCCTGAAGCAAATATCTTAACTCTGTCACCCCACATAGTCGGTTTTGTACCATTTATGGGGTTTTTGATGATGTTACTTCTTTGGGAGCTGCCGTGGTCTGATGGCTAGATGCTTGCCTGTGAATTGGAAGGTGGTAGGTTCAGGTCTTGACAGGGGACAGACTTTTTTCAAAAATGACCATGGCTCCTAGGTTGACCCAGCCTTGAGTGGGTACCAGGTTCACTTCTGGGAAGTAAACGCGGCCGGCCTGATGCTAACCACATCACCCACCCTGCGGTTTGGTCTATAAAATGTAGGTCTAGCCCTATATACCCAATACACTGTTACTTCTTTGGGCAGTGGCTATAACAGCTTTGGTACAAGTTGAAATGGAACTTCTTCTTCTTTCTTCTTTGTGTTCACCAGCTGTACACTCTGGCGTAAAGTTCTGATTGTTCGTCCACTTCTGGACTGCAGTCATGCTCCAGAACCTGAGTGTTGCATGTGCATCAGTTTTACAGATCTGATTCAATTGAATGCAGACTGCTGGTTCCTTGCCTCTCAGGCAGATGCACTCCGACTTCAAAGGAAGCTCCCCAGTTAGTCGACTCTTACGACATGCTTTTGGGGAGGCAGTGGGTCTATTCTTGTTTTCCCCACAATAGGGCCCCGGAACCCACACGGGGGGGGGGAATGGAACTGTGTGTGGATGTGGTGGATGTGATAGTATTTACTTTAAAAAAATTTGAGATGTTATTTTGGTTGAGAAAAAAAGCTTCTTTTGTGTGTGTGTGTGTCACTG